TTATTTGTTACCAAAAAAAAAAAAAGTACTAAGAGGAAAAAATGATTTTTCCTGTAAGTGTGTATTGTAAGTATTTGATTATAAATAGTATCTAATGATAACTTTTTTTATGTTATAGCTGCGTGTTGGTCTTTCAAATATTATACTGCTTTTTTCGTTTATTTTATAAAAAAAAAAAATTAGAAATCAATGGTTCGAATGTGTATTCACCCGATTTAATAAAAAGGAACACCTACTTTGTATAGTGAACGCAATCATAATCGCCCAAGTCGAAATTATTGAACTTTTTTTTACTACTAGCTATTTGTGCCCACGTTGGCGTTGAAAACTTCAAAATAAACACGAATTCGACCTCAAACCGAACTGAAAACCGAAAACAGGTTATAAGGTCCACCGACACGCGATGGCCAATTATTTTTAATGAGTCTTATAAATAGAATATAAAAATCATCAATTCTATTTTTCTTTGAAAATAGTAAAAAACCGTTTTTTCCAACAAACCGGAACACCGAACGCAGTTTAACTAAATAAAAAACCGAGCTCGGTGTAAACATACTATGAACATGAAAAAAATGTAAAAGCTTTTTGTTTGAAAACCAGGAAAATAAAACCTATGTGCTTTTGCCTGAGTACACAATTTTATATTATAAAAACATAATTGTTTTGTGTCAACAATAACTCGGTTTTCCATTGTCGTATCTTGCATGTTACATTAAAAATCAGGACGTGTTTAGGTTAACTATTGACGATGTGGCCATCGGGCATTAGAAACTATGATTGCACCAATTAACTAATATAGCGTGTAACTCACCTTGCAAGAAATTTCTAGAAGTGCGGTAACTAAAAGGTATAATAACACACGCGTTGGTACAATTTATGTGTGTTAGTTCACTTAACTAAGATATGAAAAACGTAGCTTGTGGATAACATTTTGAGGTTTGTTTACAAAATGTAAGGTTGAACAGCTGCGCTCAACGTCGTACTGAATTTTAAGACTAAACCAAACGCAAAGTCTATTTTTTATTAGTTAAGGTTTAGCTGAATTTTTCTGGAAGGTCAGAGATTTCAGCGCAGAACGAAAACCTGCATACACATTCATATAATAAACGGTGTGGATATTTTTTTTAATACACTAATATTATTAGATATTTACATTTTTTTTTTATTTAGAGCTCTATCAACTTTTGAAACTCGAATGCTAACATATTATATATTTAGTTAACTATTTAAATAATTAAGAATAGTTAGTTAAAATTATTGACTGGTCGATAACCAGTTTTCGATAATAATTATTACTTTTAAGGAAAAATGCTATCTTAATAATTCTAATATCATATTTATGAGCTTTTAAATGAAAAGGAGATATACTCATGTTGTGGATTTCTTCGTATTTTTCTGACCCTTATTTATCACTTTAATGTTCAAAACATTGTTAGACATAATATTTGGATGTTTTCAATTTATTTCTAGGACTGAGAAATCCTGGCTGCTAGCTCACCAAGCACACGGTCGATAAGAGTATTATACCTGTACATTTTTCTTTTGCAACATGTCTCGGCCGTTTCTACAAAATAATACGGTACATTGTCTGGTTTGCCCGTTTGTAATTCAGTGCTTTAGAATCCGGTCACAATTTCACGAAATACTTCTTCAAGCGCTTGTCTTATTACGTTGACACGTTTTCAGGCTTTAATTAAAATTGACATTGACAGCGAGACTGGATGTGAACATATTTTTTGTCGCATAGCAATTATAGCAAGATATTAATACAAACAAAGCAATAAATAAGTATGTTAATATTACGTTTTACATTTTATCCAGTGAAAAGTTTGTGTTTTTTCCTCTGTGGGGTTTATCAATTTGGGAGGGGGGGGGGTCGACGCACCGGCGTTGGCAGTAATGTCAATTATTGTATCCGAACCGTCGGATTAAAAATCAATGGTCGATCGAGGCGGCCGTGGATTTAATATTTTAATACTCGGCACACATGATAATAACAGTAAAAAAAAAAAACAATATTCTCCAAAGGGCTCGAGGCCGACCACCCTCTGCGGCCGATTAGGGATTATACCGGCGGGCGGTGGTCGGATGTGCCGCTTGTGACGCGTCCTCCTTAATGCACTGCCGGGATTTACCGAACAAACACCGATTGTATTGGGCATTGTGTATAATATTGTATTGTACTACAAGTATAGGTATATTTCGTACAATATTGTTATGTACATTTAACAAAAAAAAAAAACCGTCGAGTAGTGCATATGTCATTTGCAGTGGAATTACGCCGGGTAATTACACGGTATAATATGACACCGACGACAAACGCCGGCCCAGGCGCGTGCTTGGCTGTCAAAAAATACTACAATAATAATAATAGTATTCTCCAAAAGGGTTCGAATTCGTCAAACGTCCATTTACAATATGCAGATGAGACGTATGCGATTATTGTACGGTCCTGGTTTTTTTTTTTTTTTTTTTCAAAACCGTACTTACCTACTCCATCTGAAGGGCGAAAACCAGAAAAGTCACTTATCACTATTATTTGCTGCCGTGTGTAATTCGTTTCGACGTAGGTACCGGATTGGATTAGCATTCTTGATATTGTGTTACATCAATGTGCATTGTAGGTACAACAGCTAAAAACAATAATGTATACACATAACAGCATAGTGGTGTAGCCTTAGGAAGACGTATCTTGGCCGTGTTAACTTTTATCGGTGTTCAGTTAGCTTGGTAAAACAATATAGATTTTCAAATGACCGTTTTCGATTGGTTAAAATTGCACTTAATGCACTTGGATTCGATTATAGTGTCCTATAGCTGTTATGGTGACAGATGTACTGTTTTTTTTATGCGTTGTCCGAGTGTCCTCAACAATAGTGTTAAATACACGAACTTGTACTCTTTTTTTAATTTTTTTTTTATGCATTATGGCCTAGTACCTACATGTTTATAATTTTGTACAGTTTGATGCATATATTAATAAAATATAAATATAATATAATGATGGTTTTTTACAAACTCTGGTGAAAATTGTAATAAAATGTTTAAAATCGGATACCAAGTTAATAAAAGCAATTCATGTATCTCAAAAATATATTTGACTTTCGTAATATGTTAAAATTAAAAATACAATTAAAATTACATTTTGATCACGAAGGAAGCATATTAATTAAATTTTACACTTGGTATTTTTTACCTTGAAAAATTAAATTTAAACATAATTTATACTTTTCAATAATCATGCAGTAGAATATTTCTTATATTTCCAACGCATTAAGTTTCAAAGTATTTTCATCATAATGACACACACGCCTAATAAGTTGACATTATAATTTCAAATCATTTAATTTATAGTTGATAATAGAAATAGAAATAATAGAGTAATCAGATAAAAAAAAATAATAAATAGGTAGAGATGAAATTAAACCCACTGAGATATTGACTGGCTCAAAAATCACCTTGTACTGAGTGATTGGTTAACTATGGACCAGTCAGTCACTTAGAAGATATTAGACTTTTTTTATTTTTTATAATTTTATAGTTATTAGTTGGAACAAATTTAATATATTTGTGAAAAATATGACCCCATCCCTTATATGTTAAAACCATATGAACTTAAGAATTTTAAATGGTAACGTACATATTTGATTAACTTTTTGGATTATTAATAATTTGCTGAATATTTTGACTGGTCGTGATAACCAGTTTTGGATAATTAGTTTCAAAGTTATTAAAGTTTAAAATGTTGGACGGGAGGAAGGGTGGAGAGTAGAGATATTTTTATCTGCGTACATAACTCAACCGCCCTTCGCCTCCCGTCATAACTTTTAAAATTGAATAACTTGAAAAGTAATTATCCAAAACTAGTTATTGACCAGTCAAAATGTTCAGCAAATTTTTCTTAATTTAATAATACGTTACCTTTAAAAAACTCCAGTTTAAAAGATTTTAACATACAAGGGACGGAGTTATAATTAAAAAAATATTTATTAAATTTGTCCCAACTAATAATTATAAAATTATAAAAAAAAATAATTTAAAAAAGTCTAATATCTTCTGAGTTATTTACAGGTCCATAGTTAACCAATCACCCGGTATATGTTTGTTATTTTAATTTAAGTAATTAATTTGCATTTGTTGAAACATACAGGATTCAGATTTTAAGGTATATAATATAATAATTAATATCAAATATGTATTATTTTTCTGTATACCTAAAACTAAAAAATGTGCCCAAGGTCTGTAGTCTCTAGAACTATTGTGCACGGAACTATTGTTTATTTCTAAAGAGTAAACATCTAATTAAATAATCAACTAGAATTTAAAAAAGTGACCATCCGGAATTGCTAAGTATTTAGCAATTAATATGTAATATAACATCTACAATTCTACATACTTATAATATACTGTGCTAAATTTAATTAAAATTAGTTTAAAACGTTTTTAAAAAAAAACGATGTTTTTAAAATGTTTAAACAAAAAAAAAAACTGTTTTTTTTTTTTGTTTTGTCGCGACTCTGCCTATTGCTCTGTTATTGCTTTTCCATAATAATACTGTAACGGTATTGACTATTGGCGGTGTAATATTGTGATTTGGTCACCCCGAATAAATTGTTGTATTATTATCGTCGGTTGGCCCGCGCGGTTCCCGAGGGGTTTTCTGGACGCCGAGAGTGGGCAATGCACGCAATGCACGTTGGGTACCTTTATTATTATTATTAGATATACAACACACACACACACACCGCGGTACTACTACTGCACACGTGCACCGCCGGGGATAAAGACCAGTTCTTCCTAGCCTGTTCCGTTTTGGCCGACCGGCGACCGCGCGCGCCAGTGTGCTCCCGCACGTACCCGGTGACGTTACACCCGTCCGCCTTGTCGAATCCGCCTCTCCGCCGAAAAACGTGCGCGTGTGCTGTGTTTTGGTTTTTTTTTTTTTTTTTATCGATAATATACATTTTATTAGGTATATATTTAACTAAACGGTCTAAATAATATTATAAATATTAAAAAAAAAATTAGTAATTTTATTGTGTGTGTGTGTTTGTGCGCGACCGCCAGTTTGGTTTGTTCTTATTTTTTTTGTCGTAGTTTTAATTTTTTACCGACATTAACACTTATCTTAATAATTATTATTATTATCACTGCCGGTAACGCACCACCGTCGGGTTACACGATAATAATACAAGGTACCTACCATGTCGGTTCGGGTCCGCGACAAAGGATAACACACACGCAGCTTTTGCCAAAGGCAGCGTAGGTATATTACCGGCTGTATAATAATTTTTGTGCTTACCGACAATGGTCGACGTGCAAATGCTGGAAAGACTGACCAAAGACGACAACAAACGGGACAGGTGAGTCGTGTCCAAGACACTATTAATATTACTCGATGTTAACCTCTGGAAGGTACCCAATAATGATATCATTGTGTTGGTTTTGTGGTAATTGGTGTGAGAATAGATAACAATGTTATTGTCGTCACAGGGAAAGCGCCACGTGGGATTAGAATGCATTTGAAACGCTTCGGATAGGATGCTAAACACAGATATATTTTAATACAACTAGATAGCCGACTAAGAATTAATGTTGAAGTCTACCTGACTATTTTTCTTATCGAAGACCCCGTTGTTTACATTATGACTAACGACAATGAAGAATTATAATAATATAAAAAATTATCATAGTAAAATTAATTTTAAGAAATTCCAACATCAGTATAATCGACTTGCTATAGTAATAATAACATTATGATAATAAGTATGTTTTAAATTGTACAAAATTCATAATTTTTTTTTTAAACTAAAATATCAGTTCCAAAGAAATACTTTAAATTTATTTACCGATTTACGAATACAACTTGAAACGACTAACATAAAAATAGAGACTTTGGTAATTAAAACATAGGAATATTACAAATGATGTGTATAAGTATAAAAAAATTGAAACCACTAAAATTAAAATTAAAAATTTGGTATAAAAAAAAACATTGGAATAATAGAAATGAAATTGTCGCCATCTAAATTTCCAATACTATAAACAAGGTGTTTTTTGATAAGATATATCTGTGATGCTAAATTAATTATTTTTATGTGGAGCTGAGATGGTATTTGGAGAAAACTCTATTATTATTATTTTTTTTAAGTCCTTGGCCATAAGGTTTGAAAATTCGGCCAAAGGTAGGTCTAGAATAATATGGGGCTATAATATGTACAATTTTCTTATAAATAATCCATTGTTTTTTTATTAAGGAAACCCAAATAAAAGAGGGGTACTAGCACTTTGACTTGGTTTCTTTGTTGCTGTGCGTGAGTGAATATCAACAGTCAACAGGTGTATTGTATTATTGTTAATTAAGACATATGGGTATAAACAAAGGCGATAAACTATCATAGACTGCCGTGTCCACACTAATATACTCAAATTATAATTTCAAACACATTTTCTCGCACATTCAATATTGTGATAGTAATTATTAAATAAATTGTATTTAAAAAAAAAAACCTCACTTTTTTTGTTGCTGCAAAACCGAAACGCACATTTTGCACTGTTTAGACTTTGATCATACAAATCGATTCAAAGGGTAAGGTTAGGTTTTGCGATGGATCTAAATAAAGGGTTTGGTCAAATTGGTTTATTTTTTTTAGACCAATTTGACCATAATCATCATACATAACCTTTAAAACTATTTTATTTTTTTAGTTCATAAAAAATGTGTTATCCCTGACAATTATTCGATAACGCCAATATTAACCATCGAGTATTTTCTCTAAATATCACAAATATATTAGAAGTATTAAACTGTAATTATGTAAACAAATTATTTTATTTATTTATTTTTTTTTTTTGGTCGGTTACACAAACCTAATTACCGCTATTGGTAAATCCGATTCACTTCCTTAATTCACACACACACACACACACGAGTTATATTATATTATAATATTAATATAAATTGTGTTAAACTATATAATCGTGTGTGATGGTAACGGTAGTTTGACACGTTAGTGCGTTTTATTTATTTATTTTTCCCACACGGTCCATTCCAAAACTATTGTTGTTTTAATATTTTGTTGTACACATAAGAGCTTAAGTAGGATTTATCAAAACAGCACGTCATACGCACACTTTAAGTGTGTTAACAAATTGGCGGTTTCGTTATTTAGGTCGTTCTCGCAACCTAAGTGAATTTTCTCGACTATCTAACTGTGTTAATTGAGTTTTTTTTTGTTTTATTCAAAGTAGCCATTAAGTCGTTGCTACATTTTTTTTTATTGATAGATTAAAATATAAAAAAAAATTAAGCGATTACCGTCCAGGCTTGTCGCGCGCAGTTATCAATACAAACATAGGTCATTTCTTAATAGTGTAGTATTTTTTGTCTTCTAATATTTGCAATGTGTTATAACGGAAAGATAAAATATAACAAAATAAAAAGAACCGTAAAAAAATATAAATATTTGCTGATTACAATATTTTTATTACTAGTTTTTTTTATCATCTGTACCCAAGGATGATGATATGAATAATATTAGTATGATTATTATCCGTCTGATATTGCGTTTGACAAGAAAGATGTTTAGTCTGGAAACGTCATCTCGGTTTGGAACCTGTTCGGCCAAAGTGAACCGAAACCTTTTTGACTACTTCAATTATTGTTACACTAAACCAGTAATAAAAAATATTTGGGAATCATTATTCTAATTTTAAAAACTGAATGAAATATATGCGTTACCATTTGAGTTTCAAAAGTTGCTATAAAAAAAAACTGAGTTGGGAGGAGAGTAAAAACTAAAAAAAATGTGAAAAATTGAGATCACATTGTACAAAAATAACATGGAAAAAATATATTGAGTAGTTCACGGTTGGTTGACCACCCTGTAGATATATATAAATATATACTAGTCGTATATGTTTTGTAAATGTATTAGATATATTATATGAAATTTATGTGAAATATTGTTTTAAAAAATAACTACTTAAAATATATTTAAGTAGTATATTTGAAATTTATTCTAATCATTTTTTTATTCGAATAATTAAATTAGAAATTATTGGAATAACTTCTAATAGAATAATTGGATTGAAAATTATTTCTTAGAATAAATATAATTCGAATAATTAATTTAAAAACTATTCGAATAAAAATGAATTTTTGAAATTATATTCGCCACAAATACACAATTATAAAAACATTTACAAACTATTTAAAAAATTATTCGAATAACTTTTATTTGAATAATGCGTTATCTAGATGATTATTTAGATGTAGTTTTATTCGAATAATTCACACAACTCTGGTTATAGGGCGACCGCTAAGTGAGATCATTATTCACTTCACAGTATTATAATTTTTCAACGTGTAATCACTATCACACATTAAAGTGATTTAACCTTTACGTCCAATTAAGTTTAATAAAAGTACACTGTGTTGTTTATTATTTTTTTATTAATATTAAAACGTATAATGGGTAAACACAGTTTCCAAATTTATAAAGTGTTTTTAAATATTGCTAAATAAAAGTGTTATGTCATAAAAAATATTACAAATTGAAAATGAGAAAAAAAAATGGATTTCAGTGAAATATTTAATATGTTTTTTTATTTAATTATATTACAAGACAAAAAAATAATAATAATAATAAAATTTGAAATATTTTATACAATTTTCAAACACTAAACAAATGTATCAAAAGTTGTAAAAATTAGAAGAATTTAAATTTTCAAGTCTAAATCGTAGTTGTGTATCCGACTTTTTCTTTAGTAATATTTTCCAATAATTGTGTGACGGCCGTTTTTTTTTTTTTTAAAGAGTTTTTTTTTTTTTTTTGTTTACTCAAACACTTATTTTAGTCTACGTGTAGGTATGGTAAACGGTGCATTGCCACGTTGATACGTTTTATTATTTGCTATCCACCTGTCAATATAATATTACAATTTTCTTAAACAAAAAAAAATGTCTACCTACAAGTGGGATATAGTTGTTATTTTCTCGGTCGATTGATCCACCCGGTAAACGTGTAGGTAACGATTGTTTAATTAGCCGTGATTATGACTTTTCCCTCGACGCCGACGGCGTAGGCAAAGCCCAACTTGTAGAAGCAACTGTCGAAAATGTCGTTGACGAACGAGTCGATTGCGTTTTGTACGTGTGCCAGTAACGTCGTCTCTTCCGGTACCAGCCGGTGGCTTTTTTTGTACAGGAAATCGTCGTAGAACTTCTGTGCACTCATCGCCGGGCGTTTCTGGACGAAACAATGCCGGTGGGCGAACTGATACATGAACTGTTCGTATGTTTGCGTGATGTGTGCGCTTATGTTTTTTACCTCTTGATCGATCACCAGCAGGTCGTCGCCGTGCGCGGACATGTTAGCCGACGTTCTCGGTCCCACGGTGGCAGTGTACTCGGCCAACATTCGCATGCCGACCATCACGCTGGGCTTGCGTTGCCGTTGCCGGCCCAGCGAGTACACAAAGTCCAGCGCGTCTCGCATGCATTTGAACCTGGGCGACGCGCTGTGCAGCTTGACCAGCAGCGAACGGACACAGGGCAGGTACCCGCGGTGCGAAGGGTCGGCCGCTCTTTGGTGCCGGCAAACCCATATGAACCGTTGCACGAGCGTCTTGTACTGGCGGACGATCTCGCCGTACTTGCACATCAGCACGGTCCAGATCTCCTTGTATCTGTCGATCGCGGTGGACTCGTCGATCGGCGGCACTCCGGCTCCCAGCATTGCCGACACGGGATCCGAGATGGCCGTGCAAGAATTGATTAAGATTTTCACGTCGCGCATGCCGTCCGCCCAACCCCGGTGACGCATCAACGTGTTTAAATTGTTAGCCAGTTCCGGTTTTTGCGATTCGTCTACACTGTCAACGTCGAAGCACAGCACAGCGACGGCACAAACTACTAGTATCGACGCAATCGACGTTGGCCACCAATGCATTGTCGTGGCGAGCAGTAAAATCACACAAAAGACAAAACGCGGTGGCACGATTCGACGAAAAACTCCAACTAAACAAGAGCCACGGCAGACAGTGTTGAAATATTTGATTAAAATTTTCTAATAACTCAATTATTGTTTAAACACCTTTTTTTTATTAATATAAACGCACTTTTGACACGTGAACTCGTGTATGCGTGTGTTTAACACGATACCGTTAAAATAACTCGTCGGTAACGTGCGATTAATAACCGAAGGTCTGCAAACATTTGTTAAAAAAAAAAAAAAGACATCTATCGTCTGTACTGAGAAGTTATTGCGTTATTATAATGTGTTTTGTGTTCTCGATAGATAACTTTGACGCTGCTCGAATTGGAAGAATAAAAGAAGTGGGACGTTTTTACTTAAAAAAA